GAAGCACAGGTACCATGGAATACAATCAGTTAATGGTTAAAATAGATACTGTGTTTAATGTAACCTCCCAGAATGTTTTTTTCTTAAAAAACATAAAACCCTTTCAACTGAGCATGCAGGTGTTCCCCATGGACTTGTGCCAATTGAATCCTTACTTTTTCTCAGGTGGAGGAGAATGAGATAAGGAAAAAACAACTGCAGGAAGATTTAGACTTCTAAACACACACACAGTGGCTTTACCTTGCAGGAAGGTAAGGCTTCCCTGCACCCTATCCAAAAAAAGGAATTCATTCTTACATGCTACATATTCAAATCCCAATATTCAACTGTGCTAATTCTATTGGCTCAGACTTCTACAGCCTGGGTGCAAGTGGGTCTCCATTATTAGCTCCCTTTGGTAGAAAAGATATGGCTGCTGTGATCTGTAACTACTAAGGCTTCAACTTCTCTTTGCCTAGCTCATTTTCATGGATTCAGCAACCAAATCTGCCAAATGTTCTGAATCTGGTACACAAAAATGAAATCGTGCACAACCCTAATTTGCAACCTATTGTGTGTGCAAGTGTTTAATTTAGGAAAAAAAAGATGACTAATGAGAAATATATAGAGGTGCATAAAATCATGCATGGTGTAGAAAAAGAAGATTGACATTTTTCTATTTCTCATAATATTAGAAAATTGGGCCATCCAATGAAGCTGACAAGTGAGAGAGACAGGACAGGCAAATGGAGGTCTTTCTTGACACAGTCCATAGATAAAACTATGAATTTGTTACCATAAAATGCACAGGCAGCCACAGATTTAGACAGCTTTACAAGAGAAGGAGGAAAATTCATGAAAGATAATAATTCTAACCATGATGCCTGAGTATTACTTCCAATGTCAGAGGCCATATAATTCAGGAGCAGCTGCTGATGAACATGAATGGATGGGCGCCATTGTACTCAAATCCTGTTCCTGGGCTTTCCATAGAGGTTTATTTTATTAAGGAAATATATATATATAATCAAACACTATGAAGCTAAGTAATGGCCTATTTAAACAAATTAGATGAAAATGTAAGGCATGAATAAATCAACACTTGTGCAAAATGTGTAAAATGTGTGATATTTATCCAATTAGGGTTATTTCTCCCATTCAGTATTACTGTGAAAATTCTATCTTTGGCTGATAGTTTGTGAGAAGAGGAAATTAATTTATGATGGATATGGAGCATTGGCTTGCTTTTCTAGATTCACATTTTCATGTGATGCCTTATAAATTTGAAATAGTCGCAATGTATCAAATGTTCTTTGAATATGGGATGCATGTTTCTTTGAATAGACAGAAAATGACAGTGGAATATATTCAGTGACTTGGGAGTTTCCTTTATAAAGATGAATATTTTACTATTTCTTGATCCCACTTGTCTACTTGTCATCTTCAGGAAGCAATCATGTGCATGCCAAAGTTCCTGCACTTGTATTCTGGAGCATCTAAAGTTTTGGATAACTTCTCTAAACCAGCTACATGTAGAGTATGCTGTGAAGCACAGTTCTGTTCATATGTAATGATGGTATATGTTGTCTTGCCCATATTTGGCCTCTTCAAACATGGATGCAGTTAGAGCAGTAGCCTCAGCTGGCCAAAGCGTTCTTGGCTACCAACACAACCTAGTGAGCAGGAATGAAAAGCGCCTCTATACTATAAATCTGATTCTTCAAAGTGTATGTTCTTACAAAAGGCACAGTAACAGCTCTATGTTGTAACCCACCCCGAGTCACAAGGAGAGACAGATAATATAATAATAATAATAATAATAATAATAATAATAATAAAACAACAACAACAATATGGAACTATGCCATTCTTGGTGAAGCATTTACTATTCACTCAACTCAACCTAATCTGTCTATGTCAGTCACCCAGAATGATGACTGAACTCATCTCCATGTGGGATGTAATCACACAGTTACATCTAACCACATAGACAGAAGTTGTGAATTCATTTGGCAGACAGTCTCCATAAATGAAGATCTCTTCCATGTATATAGTGTTCCCTTTTAAGACAAAGAACTGCTTGATTTTTTTTAGATGTGTATGTGCCTTTCAGAAAGTCCCCAGAAATCATTAAATGTTGCACTTGAATTCTGTGACTAGAAGCCCTTGGGCCAAATAAAACCTCCTTGATCCTGAGAGCTTCTACCGAACCTTTTGTCATTGATCTAGAGGCAAAAGTAAAGAATGCAATATCTGTCTCAGCAGAACTGCTGCAGGTCACTTTGAAAAGTGGCAGGGGGGAAATCACATATCATGAATGTTTAAAATATACTATTGTTGATTAGCTGATAACTATCTGACATGCACTGCAAATCTTACACAACAAGATGATAAATGTGGGGGCAGAGATAGCAGCTTACATGCTGCCCCATCACTTCTAACTCATTTTTCAAAATGCTACTTCAGGAAAGCTTGTTCCTTGTCAAGGTTCTTATTAAATCTGCTGCATTTAATTCTTCTATGTGTCTGACTCTTCACCTGTTTTCTGTTACATTATGGTAATTTCTTGCCTGTTGATGAACACTGCATTTGCTAGTCAGGGCTCAGAAATTAATCAGTGGCACAGTTGTGTACTGTGATCATAAAAATGGGGAATTTTCCAATGCAGACTTCATATTCTCTAGAGCATATGGCAAGACAGGTGCCAATGTCAAAATTTTATTACATAGAATATTACAGGGCATACGGAACTGTGCCTGGATATGCACTTTATTTATGGACAAATAAAGAACACACCAAATCAGAAGGTGCATGACATGCTTTTAATCCTCTGCCTTTTAAAAAAAAGTTTTTTTAAAAAAAATCTTTAAGTCATCACCATGTCTGATAAGCCAATATGTTACAAACATCATCTTGGTCTCTCTCCAGAAAACCATCAATCACAAGCACAAGTTCTTAGGAAAGCAAATGTCAGCGTCTATGAATAGCCATGTGCTCTGATTAAAACACACATACAGGCCATGCATCATTTTCACTATCATTTTCCCCCTTCAGGGCCAAACTAGTCATGATATGCAGTTGTGTGTATCTTTTTCCTAATCTTGGTTTTTTCTTTCTTTCCTTTTTTCTCCTCACACCAAGAACAATATGAGGAAGACACATCTATGGCAGAGAAGCTGCTTAACTATTTCACCATGATCATCAAATTTTCACTTGATGGAATGGGGGATATATGCATATATACATTTCCTGAGTGCACAGAAGGCTGTATCCCAGATTCAGTGTGCAATATCCTGCTCTGATTTGGCCTCATTAATGCCATGCTCACCTGTTTTAATATGAAATCAAATTGATCTTAAATTCACACAGTTCTCCCATCCTGAAGTCACATCAGTACAAAAAAGTGTTTTCACCATGTTCATGAGTTCACCGTATCAGATTATTTCAGGCCACATGTCTCCAGCAGCTACATTTTTTCCTTCCCAGCATGCATGCGGATATACATATGTATGTTTATTCATATAAAGCAAGAGCCTTTCTTGTTTTCTTGTCATTCTTACCACCCACCTGCATTCCCTTTGGCTAGCTTGTATACAGCTCGCTGCTGGGCTCCCTCATCTCACTTTCATTTTTTCCCCTCTCTGAAACCTCAGGACTACTCCATCATGTGTGTGTGAAAGTGTATGCACCACGGGAGAAATAAATGCTTCCTTATTCAGTTTAGATCGCAATATTTAAAACTCCCCACATGATCTTTCCCCAAGATTAACAGGATTAAAAAAAAAAACCCTGCAGAACGGAACAGCTACTTTGTAAACCTATTGGCTCCAGTCCTCCTCATCTTCCCTTGAATCTGTTTCCTGCTAGCTTCAAAGGAATTTATTTTCCAATAAGACTGTAATCTTTTGGCCTCTCACATGGAAATAAGTCCCACTGAACTCAACTGGACTTTTGTATAGGAATGTATAAAAATGCAATGCTAATTAATGATAGGGAAGACATATTCATGTTTTCCCTCTGGCCCTTTCATTGGGCATAAGTCCCTGTGAAGTAGGACCTTATCCAAGATGTCTTTACTAGAAGCCAGGATTAAATTCCCACTAAGGTCATTAAGTCTCCCCTTTGAAATGAAAGAATTCCTTTTGCCATGGTAAATGAGTCAGAGCTTAGAAGATCACCTATTTTGTATTGTATTATAATTCTCAAAAAGTTGGGGAGTTGCAGCTTTTAAAAAAAGACAAATTCTGTGGTTTGATGAGTGAAACTTTTGTAAATTATTACAAAGCTTTCTGAAATCTTTCAAACTTGTTGATGTTTCATCAGGTATGTCTTAAGGCTCTTCCACACAGCCCTAGAACACAGAATATCAAGACAGAAAATCCCACAATATATGCCTTGAACTGGGTTGTCTGAGTCTATACTGCCATACATTCCAGTTCAAAGCAGAAAATAAGGGATTTTATTCAGCTGTGTGGAAGAGACCTTAGACTTAAGACCCAGATCTGGGACATTGCTTAAGCCAACATGCAATAAGAAAATTGTAGTGATGTTTAAGCTTCCCAATGGAGGAGACTGAAAGGCCCTATTTTTATCCATATAGTCAAAGACCATTCTTTGTTGCACTATATAGTGCTAAACTACTCATCCTAGAAGAAGGACAAGAGTTCACAACTCCTATCTGGCCCAGATATTGGTTGTGGACTTGCAATTCCAAACATCTGGAGGGCAACGAATTGCCTGCCTTTTACTTATGGGATCTAGCTAGGATGTTGCTGGTTCTTCTCATCTGAAGAAGTCACCTTCATTAAGAATTTAGCCCTTTATTTTTAATGAATGTAACTGTAGAAGATAAAATTAACAATATAGAGACATTGAAGCTTAAGACAATTGCTATGAAAGGATGCAGTAGTGTATATGTTTGTGCATATAGCATGGCTTAGTCATGCATACTGCTTGCCTTTTTTTTCTTCAAAAAGGTTTGATCAAGACCAACGCATTTAGTAAGTAAATTTATTACTCACCTTGTGTCATAAATCGCATACAGTTTTTTGTTCTCTTCAACAGCATTCCTAGAAAATAAAATAAAACTATCCTTAGGTCCTGAGTGCTGATAAATAAATAAAACACATCCCATGCTATTTTACTCAGACTAGGCTACCCTCATGGTTTCTTTTAAAATTTGTAAGCTGATCAGAACAACCACCTGTGATTTATTTCTCCAATTCCAGTCCTTCTCCTAAAGCCCCCTATTTTACTGAACCTGTAATAGGGACCTCACCTGACCATTCCCTAACAAATTCTAATGATGTAAAATAATTAGTTGCCTCACTGCTTCCTTTCTGTCTAGGTGCTCTTCTTATGGGAAAGAGCTGACTGTGCAAGGCAGCACCAGCAGCCATTTCTGTGATTGTGTTCTCACATTTAATTATTTAATATTTTAGTTCCTCATACAACACGGAATAGAAAAAGCCTAGGTGCCCAAACCCAGAATAAACAAGATGGATAAAAAAGTATTCAAAACATATACATGTTTAGTATGCCTTACCCAAAATACTTGGGAGCAGAAGTGTTTTGGATTTTGGATTTTTTCAGATTTTGGAATACTTGTATTTGCATAAGAATACATATCTAACCATAAAAATCATTTATGTTTCAACCGCCCTGAGTGCCTTAGGGGAGAGAGAATGGGTTATAAATAAAGTATTATTATTATTATTATTATTATTATTATTATTATTATTATTATTGTTATGGAATTTTACACTCAATATTTTATCATTTTTTGCATGAAACAAATTTTGTGTACACTGAATCATCAGAAAAGATTCAGAGATGATCCCTATCTCAGCCACTCAAGTGGACATTCTGGGATTTTGGAGCATTTTAGATTTTGAAATTCCAGATAGGGATGCTTGACCTGTATGGCATATGGAATACTACAGTAAAAACATATATAGAAGACAAAAAGGGAGAGAAAATAAACTTTCCAGAGTTAATACCACCACCTCATCCTCAACTGGATCAGTAATTAAACTGCACTTAAGACAAAACCATGCTGTTCTATGTACTGGGAAAATCCTTCTGTCTGTGTGCCTTTTCCCTCCAACAAAGCAGTAATAAAGGACAAAAGTACAGAACTGCAAGCATCATGATTGCTATTAAAATTATTCACACCCGCATTAGACTAGTTCATAATAAGCATGCACTTATTATGAGGCAATATTATTAAGCAAGGAATAACTGTGGACAGAAAGGCATGTTGTGGCTGATAGTAAATCAAATTGGGAGCATATGGTTTGGCTGTTGTTACCGTCAGCAGTGCTGTGATGCTGAGAAAACTGGTGTTTTATGATTCTGCCTATAACTCACAATACAGATACAGCTTTAGCGAAGTAAAATGAAAGTAAAACATATTTCTATGCACGACAGAGGGAATTGCACTGTATTTAACCAGTACTATGTTTAACCTCTACTGCACATCCAGGAGAATGGGAGCTGCATCAAAATAGTCTTTCAGGCTGCCATCCAGGAAATGTTTTTGCCATATTATCTCAGAGCCTAGTCCTCTGATAGACCACTTATGCCAATGCAGCTCTTTTAACAGCATATAATTGAGAGAAAGTGCATAATAATAGCAGGGTTGACTTAAAGAAGATGACTGACCTGATGTAAGTTCAGTGCTGTTAGCTTATCTTTCCATTATGAGGAAGTAATGTTTTTCCTCCCTTAGATCTGATTTCCACAATGGGGTAGAATGGGAAATGAAATATATAACCATATCTGGACTTCTCTAATCAATCGAGTATACAGTAGATCCTCCATTGGACCTGGGTTAGAACCAAAAGACTCCCACAAAAGTGGAAATGCCATGAATAAAAAACCCCACATTTTTGACCTGAGAGAACGCCTTTCTAGTAGTCTCTAAGTTCTTTAGGTTGACTCCATGGCTGACCTTTGGAAGTAGATCATAAATTTACCCTGGAGGATCTAGAAATTCCTAGAAAGGACATATTAATTAAATATGTAAATAATTAAATCAGCAAAAGTTAAACCTTCAAATGTTGCCCTAAACTCATGTTCAGTCTTTTAGATTAGCCTACAACAAATTGAAACTGAATCCAGACAAGACAGAGGTCCTCTGGTCAGTCGTAAGGCCGAACAGGGTATAGGGTTACAGCCTGTGCTGGATGGGGTTACACTCCCCCTGAAGATGCAGGTTCGCAGCTTGGGAGTGATCCTGGACTCATCGCTGAGCCTGGAACCCCAGGTCTCGGCGGTGGCCGGGAGAGCTTTTGCACAATTAAAACTTGTGCACCAGTTGCGCCCGTACCTTGGGAAGTCTGATCTGGCCACAGTGGTCCACGCTCTTGTTACATCCCGAATAGACTACTGCAATGCACTCTACGTGGGGTTGCCCTTGAAGACTGTTTGGAAACTTCAACTGGTCCAGCGAGCGGCAGCCAGATTACTCACCGGAGCGTCATACAGGGAGCACACCACCCCCCTGTTGTGTCAGCTCCACTGGCTGCCGGTTCAGTTCCGAGCACAATTCAAGGTGCTGGTTTTGACCTACAAAACCCTGTACAGTTCCGGTCCAGTGTATCTGTCCGAACGTATCTCCCTCTACGTCCCACCCCGGAGTCTGAGATCATCTGGGGAGGCCCTGCTCTCGACCCCACCGCTATCACAAGTGAGGTTGGTGGGGACGAGGAGCAGGGCCTTCTCAGTGGTGGCCCCTCACCTGTGGAACTCACTCCCAGGAGAAATTAGGGCATCAACATCCCTCCTCTCCTTCAGGAGGAAAGTAAAGACGTGGTTGTGGGACCAGGCCTTTGGGCAATCTGACAACTAGATAAGGACAATCAGACGATTAGGACTGACAGGACTGACAATGTGGAATTGGAATTTGGACTATGAGATAGCGAACGCTGACCGTCTATGAGGAGTAATTGGGTTTGTATTGTTTTATTGGTTTTATTGGTTTTATGGTTGTAATGCAGGAATTGTTGTTTAACTGTTCAACTGTTTAATTGATGTTATTTTGTTTTACTACTGTTATGTGATGCTGGCATCGAATTGTGCCTTTGTAAGCCGCCCTGAGTCCCTTTGGGGTGAGAAGGGCGGGGTAGAAGAAACCGAAATAAATAAATAATTTCCCTCCAAAGAATTCAAAGTGGCATGAGGTAAGTTAAGATAGCAAAATAAAGTCACTGGTGAAGTTCATAGCTAAGCAAGGATATGAAAGATGGTCCCCCAGCTCCGATTCAGATATATAACACTATCCCATACTGAGTCACAGCCCCTAAAAGAAAGGTTTACAAAGTACACTTGTACAGTCTAGCTTCCAAAGGCTGACTGCTCTGTCTTTTTAAAATCATATCTCCTCTTGTGCTTTTCAAGTGTGCTCTTAACACTACACCAAATAAAATCTTAGGAAGCACTGGCAACCACTGGCAACTGTAGCCACTTGTAGCACTCCCAACTTATTCTTGGTTCATAAGAGTGACCCATTACATGCTTAAATTGGCAACCAATGCATTCAAAATCTTTGATAAGTTCTGTAATGAAAACAGCTTCCATATTTTAGTGGTGGGATCTGTCATAAATATAATTTGAAATGCATTGAGTTCCTTAACATTCTGTTTGTTAACACATCTTCAATTGCATTTGTTCCTAAGCTTTACTTCTGAATCACTGGATGCAAGCAAGAACTAGCCTTTCCAAACTGTGATATTGTGTTAGCAAGAGACAGCTAGATCAACACAGAAAGGGTTGAGGTCCTCTCATTTTGCATTTCTTCTCAATTTGTTGACACTAAGAATATCCCTTCGCAGTTGGTTGTGTACTGTGAAGTTCATGTAATTAAAACTGGGGGTGAGGGGAGAGAAACAGTGTATTTCTGGTTGAGTTCAGAAAATGAGACACCGCTGACTAATCATCAGGCAAAAGGAAATACAATTCCAGCTTTCTGGACACATGCCAAGAGAATACAGGAAGGAGAAAATACAGTGTGCACTGAAGATCCCAAGGAAAGTTGACTGGTGCAGAATATTCTATGAGAAATGAGTGAAAGTGGTATAAAAAAAGCTGTAATAAATGCAATAAAAGAAAATTGGCTGTATTTTCACCTGGCACAATATTTGTGAAATAGTTTCTCTGTTTCTATCATTCTTAACAATATATTAATGTTTTCAACGAGAGTCCTAAAAAGATCCCTCTTTTTAGCAAATCAAATACTTCTCTCTGATTTCATTGCCATTTTCTTGGAAAGAATTATGGAGTCATTGGAATGTTATTAATGATCTGAATATGAATAGCACTGAAACATTGTTCAAGAGACTGGCTTTCTCATTTCATTTTTATTGATACATGGGTAGGAAAATGAGGGAAAAGATGTACCTTTAACAAAAAACAAAACAAAAAATACCACTCATATCCAAGCATTATAGCCCCATTAAGCCAGCTGGCTTCTGGGAGGTTTCCCAAATGTATGCCTGAGATTAACAGTGCCCTGCAGTGCTAACCTTTAGATAGGACTACCACAATGTGTTGTACGTGGGAAGCCTTTGAAGACTGCTCAGAAAGTTCAAATAGTACAAAACACTCCTGCTACGTTATGACTTGGGCTAGCTTTGGGAAACACATCTCATGTATTTTCAAAGCTACAGCAAGGGTTTGTTTGCCTCTGGAAACAACTGAAAGGGTTGCTCATCCCATCTGAAATCAGGCTGCAATCTGGTAAACTGAAGGACATCTTCTTACCATATGTGCTTGCCCCAGTTCTTCTTACAACCATCATTAGAAGTTTTCTTCTGAACAGTTATAGTAGGTGGCATCCACATCAACTGAAGGCAAGGAATTCAAGTTTGGTTTGTTTTAGATATTACAGGAATCATCGAAAGAGCTAAGCCTATTTGAAGGAGAGGTCAAAACCTTGGACAGCACCTTTATTACAATCTTAACAAGGAAGGCTCTGGTGCATTCTGCCACCTTAAAAGTTCAGACCGATAGTGATGAGAGGCAAGACTTTTCTAGGTCATTTTGACATATGTTTAGATTGCCTTTCAGT